GCTCACGTTCAAAGATTTAACACCAAACGCTTCATCAAAACCTCTGTTGAAATGTCCCTTGATCTTATTCGCAGGAACATGTCTTTCACAAGAATTTCTAAACGTTTTTCCCATTTCGTAATTAATCCAGATCCTGTGAACCATAAAAGGGTAATAAATTACTCTTTTAACATATTTTTTAAATGTGTTAAACTAAATGCTAATGGGTACTGTGTATCCATAAAGAGATCGTGTTAACTGGAATATCTACTACAGAAGCCCATAACGTTGATTTTCTATGAGGTTCAAGGCAAGCTAGTTGACAAAACTCCGTATAGCTGCCATAATGAATTCTCACGCTCCACGGCATTTTCTGATGCACTTCAAATATCATTAACGTAATATAGACAGCATTGCTGACGTAATGTCTCATGACGTCATGTTAGTAATCACGTTACTTCGTATCAACATTCCACTGTTCTAAAAACAGAAGAAACTCCCCCACAACGCGCGTTCATAGTGTGTATATTGGGTATGTACCTTCGTGTGTGAATTCGACTGACTTTACTGCCATCGTGTCAGCATTGATTCATTTCGTGATCTGGAGATCTAAAAGTGTTGATTAAACTTTAATAAAATCAGTCGAAGACAAACCCCCATGTTGTACTCTCTCTATATATATTACCAACACAGACACGGATATCAGTTCATTTATCTCCATTATTCTCACGGAGCCTATTGTTCTTTACTGATTTGATATCTCGCGCTAGTTGTGTAGACTGGTTTTCTGTGTGAAGTTAGATAACGTAACGTCATAATAACGCACATGTGTACATAGTTTGTGACGTCGTTCCAACAATCGATTTTTTTAGGACAAGACTTTTTTTTATAATTTCGTCGAAACATTTGCGTCAGGACAATCTTAATTCACACAGGCCGGATAATCAGTGATTCCTCTTTATATCAATCTCGTAGTTTATGCTGATATTAGGTATTATATATTGATTATGTCACAGTGTGGAAATGACGTGGGTGGAAATGACGCAATGTCCACAAAATATGACGTCACATACCACATCGACTTTTTATCTACGCTGCTCACAGAATTAGCAGTTCTTACTGTCTTGGATAGCTTCATATAGAGAATTCAAAAATAGAAGGTTTTCTTAGGAAACCTTATTAAGTAAGAATCGACGAGTTTGTGCCGCAGTTCGATTGAATGACAAAACGTTATTGAATGGAATTTGATACCCGGGATGTTTCTTGACTATTCACTGCGTATTAATGCTTTATCTTACAGATATATTTTCTTTAACCTCCTGATATTGATATAATTATCATAGTTTCACAAATATTGGCAACAGAAGAAATACGTACTATTTAAAGTTTTCAGTAGCATAATTATATTGAGTCCACGATGACGCTAAAGCTTCCCAGTGTGACGACAGGACTGTACATAGCAGTACCACTGAAAAATTCCGATAAATAGTACGATGAGTTTGGACGTGACGCATTTCAAAATGAAGCTTCGAATACTCAATAGACTTAATGAAGTCCTTTGTATTCTACGCGAGAACAGTTTGATATTTAACACCCTCGGCTGACACTGTCAGTTCTGCGGAAATTTCAGTGTATAAATAGTCAATAACAACCGCAAATCGAAAGAAATCATGATTTATCTCCATATTGCATGCGATTGTACAGTAAACCAAATCTATAAAAAAAATTAATATGTGAACTTGTTGTCAGATAAACATGTCACATTATCACTAGTCACCACTCTGTCACCGTTATCTGTTGTTTAAACAAGAAGACATATGCGTGTATGTTATCTGCCAGACGGTTTTCAGTGAAATCAAGGATGCTTTAAATTTATTATCAAGGATGCTTTAAAATTATTAATACAGATCCTTTTTAACAGAAAAATCGATTTCCGTCACAACCGCGTGATCCCGAGTATCGTCCTCGACTCGGTGCTCGTATCGCGTCAGGAAACAGCCGGCTTTAAACCGATTTCTAGTACAATTAACTGGCACACAAGAGCATTCGAGACAATTGGTCGCCTGCAACTATGACGTGAAGCTACTAATGACGTTTATTAACTTTATGCTTGACAGTTTGTCTTGACTTGGGCACGAGCTTCCTCGCTCAACACACGTGTCTTCGACGTAGGCCGAGAGACACGCTCAGAGAAATGATTGCATCTCATTGGCTGATTGAAGTGTCATGGAAAGGTCACGGAGGTCAGCACACCCGGTGTCCTGTCAAAGCTGTACATGTGTTACGTCTATCAGCTGAGGGAAATCGTGTCGGAGATCCATTTATTATTGCTAATGTGGTTTTGATTATAACTAATTTTCACTTTTATGTTGATATGAGACTACGAAATCGTGATATTCCTGAAATATTACAACAGTCAATAAGAGAATGTACGTGATCATTTGCAACACGAATAATTCATGTTTCCCTAACTGTAACATATTTATTCTCTTTTATCATGTTTTATCACAACAGAATAACATGTTTCACGCATTTTCCACAAATAATGCTGCACATGTTCGTATTCCGTAAATTAATTTTGTTGTAAATGCAAAGATGTTTTGACGATATTGACAAAATTCGGTTTGAATGGTATCATCTGACATTTCTATTAAGATAAACACACAGTTATTTTTCATTGTCACTCCTTTCTTCTATACCGACACTTTTCCAAATCGTACCTGAAGATGGTATTGATGTATATGTTTCATCAAGTTTATCAAATATATGCCACAGCGGAATTGACATACTATTTAGCAACTTTGGCCCCCGAAATTCATTTCTATACTAACGATTAAATTGCATTGTCCATTAGTACTTTTCAAAGAGTATTATGGTTAAATGTGATGTCATATGGCAGTGAGAAAGTACTAGGGTTGTTGAATTCTATGCCGCTTTTAGTAATATTCCAGTGGCATCATGACAAGACAAATTCAGAAACCAGAAGCTCTGGCGTGAACCTTTTAACCACACGGGTATCTCGGCGCTCCAAGTAGGTGAAGTGAAAACAGGATTTGACGTCGCGTCACTTGATTGGGGCGTGCATGCACGTGTATGTGTGTCTGTGGTCGTTGTGTATACACCATTCAGACACTGTATACTCCGAGCCGACCAGTTCTTGTTTTTTTCCAATCAATAACGAGCCATAGGCAGGGTAACAACAAGTACTATATTTCGAAATCATTGGGTATGACGCGTCCCGGGTTTGAACTATCGAACTCTCTCCATGCATATGTTCTTATCCACAAGATCACACAGGTGGCCGCTAAAAACATATGAATACCTATATACGGATGACGCTTTTCCCCCTCAAAGAACAGTGATATACAGATGGTGGTTCGAAAACAAAAATGATTAATCTACAGTATCCATTTGTACGTACCTTAAACATATCCGTTGCCGTAACATAAATGGGATCGTCCTTTGGCAGCCGTATTGTTGACATCAATGATTCAGACAGCTCGGAAAACACTTTAATTTAACACCGAAACATAAGTATCAAATTATTGCCTTTTCTACCATGTTGAATCTCAACGCTCATCAGTCATCATCTAAAATTGAAACATGGAGATTATTTCACAGGAGCCAAAACGAGCATGTTGAAGACAAAGGGAAAATAGTAAAATAAAGAACTTAACAACGCATATTTTGTCGTTTTTATGTAACAGTTGTAACCCTGACCCAGCATGCCTGGTATAGGCTCCCATCACGTGTATAGATAGATCCAGTCACAATTACATACAAACCCTTTCATTCAATTTAACGTAGCGGATAGCTTGTCACGTAGCGCGACTGAAGCAATTGACGATGTTGTTGCAGCCCACGTTGCGCTATCCAATGGCGTTGATAACTGTCCATGTCGACTACAATTCTAACGGTTAATTCGTGACAATCCCAATTTTCAGGCAATAACAATTTACATAATCGTGAGCTATAATGCAGAAATCAAGGAAGGAGAACTTTCGTAATTCAAGTTTTTCCTCCCCTGCAAACAATACAACCATGTTGGAACGTGTTGCCCACGCAAATAATGCGCACGCATTACCTTAAAGGTCGTAATGGGCCTAGAAGTAGACTCGAGAGTATTTCTTTAGTGTGGTTGTTAATTTTAGTACCACGTACACGGAGAGAAATGGTATTATCATATTGGAGATCTAGACATGTATTGAAGAAGCGTTTCTGTCCATAGACTATCCGGCTTAGGCTATCTTGCAGCTGCAGATGATAGATCAAAATAATATTTTCAAATTTATTTTCTGTAAAACGGCATCGACAGATTGTAAATATTTCTATTTTGTTTCATACAGGGTAACCTTTGCACATTTTAGTAATACTATCATTTAATAGTTGCACACATGTATCATTTGTCGGTTGCATTATGGGATTACACAAGTATACGTAATATTGTCAGAATCCATTTTAATTTCATTAAAATCAACTCAAATCTTTTTCTGAGATTTTCTTTCTTTCCACAAAACCGATGCAGACCAACTAAAACGCCAACAGGAAAATTCCCAAAGAGTAATTGATTCAGTGACAGATTCCAATACTTGACAATCTTGAAAAATAATTAGTACTTTCAGAGGTGTCAATTCCAGCATTAATCCCGTGCTTCTGATAAACCATTATTGATTGTCAGCATTCCTAATGAAAAGTCACACCTAACTCTAACTCTGCCTTCACCAACAGCACGGCTGAAGCACGCGTGTTTATAAAAATGACAATAACGTTAGATACGACGAAAGGCATTCGCCATAGAAAAATCCTTAATGTGTTTGTCAATAATTGTTTATAACGTTCTCCGTCATCCCCATATTTCTGAAGCCAACAGATCCTTCTCCCAGCGCTGTATAAAGTGTGTATGGCACAATTACCGACCCATTACGCGACTAGAAGGTCGAGAGCGCCTAATTTGGACGTTACAATGAGGGAGTCTTGCAACAAACTTCGAATCTCAGAGGACTTTGAAGCTAATTCCCGCGCATGCGTGCATATGCAATAAGGCCCGGCCATGCCTTCCGCTGGGGCCGACTTGTAATGGTTTTCACGCCGACACAGCCGATGTTGGCGATCTTTTCTCGAACGGAGTATGGCGTCAATCCCTACTGTTAGGATTACACCGGCTGGAAATGTTCGACCGGGAGATAGAGTGATTTGCGTTTAGCTGGAATGAACGTCGATTTATAGTTAGCCTCCATTCTCCTTTGCCGTGATGTCTGCAGTCGAACTCGCCATGAGCTGGGGCCCTGTCTATTAGATGCCTGACTATCTCTGCCAACAGTATTCTACCACCGTTACTATGCTGACGACAAATTCCTCGTCTTGGTGTATGCAAAGGCACGGATCAAAACGTTGAAGCTAACCCGTTGGGAGATTCATCGAGTGGTACTATTTCACATATGAACAAGAGGTAAGGCCCTACCCCTTTGTTTCAAGATACACCGATGTATTGGCTTCTGTGGATCGTAAGTGGCCAAATTCGAACGGATATAGGGATATGCATTTCCCCGGTATCTGAGGTGTGTCTAGAGATATCGCTACTTAGACGATGGACTGTTGTTCTAAGAAAAGACTACTAACCGTCATGACGAGCATTTGTGCGTGTGCGGCATTCGGCTTACTTTGCATCGCCGTTGCCACAGATTACTGGCTATATACTGAAGAGAAGAAAAAGGAATCCGAATTTAACACAACTACCCCCTTGTACCGGAAAGTTTACTCAGGACTGTGGAGAAAGTGCGAAGGTAAAGGTAGGTTCTAACGCCTTCTGTGGCCTCGTTATTTCTTCTTTCCACTCTGAGGTGTCTATGTGTAATTTCCACGTCTCCTTAACTCAGTACCAGTCATTTCGACTCGCTGCCAGCAGTAATTCCTGCCGCGGCTGCATCCTCTCATCCCTCGATTCATCATCTTTAGTACAGATAAAGACTTGTAAACCATGATCAATCATCTTCAACATACATCTTCTCACGCATTAAGGCATTAGTTTTTTTAAACCAGCCTCCAGTAGAATGAAAATGTTACCACCTTCTCTGAGAAAATGTTAAACGGTTTCTTTAGGATTCAATTACCCACTGTTCGGTCTTTCGCTACTGCTGAAGAGCCTGTGATTCTTATCTATCTAGTTGGGCGTAAAATTAGACCATTCGTGCTTTGCTGAGAGCTCTACAGAAGCGGTAATCACTCTATCAAATGTCGTGAGATGGTTGGGGGTGGTTAGGAAAAGCGAGAGCATGACCTGCTCTTGTTTGTAACCAGAGTCGTAGAGGATGGTTGACAATGTTTGCCTTACATCAATCATTAATGCAGAGACTTGCAAGCGTTTCACACAGACGAACCGGTCTATCTGAAGCAAACGCCTCAGCGCCGTCAGTGCGATGAATCTTTTCAAATGATCACGTGACCATTCTGATTTATCTTCTGTGAATGGAGAGGCAACATTCCAGTTTCGTGTACCCGAATGGTTTCTTGATAATCGCACCGAGGGCGTTAATATATATGTAAATGGTTGGTTTTATGTAATGATGGAATAGTATCGAAGAAACAGCACCGATGAAATTACCACATCTTCGAAACATTCGCCTTCGCCGAACATAATAAGGATATACGTTTTGACACACGAGACTCGTAGCATTATTGATTGGAGTTCTTTCTCCATTCACGACTATATGTTCGCACCTGCAACTAACCATTCGCATATAATTATCATCAAGTAAATCCTGCTTCCTGCAGTCAATTTAAATAAAGACTTCACCACCAGAGTATAATCAGCCTCGATTAACCTCTGAAGCAGATTCCACAGGGCGTAAAAGCTAAAATATTGTTGAAAATGATATGAATGGGTCACCGAAAATCAGTGATGACACCAGGTTTTTCGCAAAAAGGAAACACATGTCCTGCTCTACCGGTAGTTCAAGTTCAACCGAACACTACATATAAAAGAAACCCAACACCCCTCTCCGGAATCCCTCTGGTTTGCAGAATTTCTGTAAAAAAAGTCATTTTTAAATGCTAAAGCCTTGTAATGATGAAATGCATTCAACATCATCAGCAATTTTGTTGACTAATTAACCAATGTGGTAACACAACCAATGCATACACACACAATGAAGGTGAGTTCCAATCAGGAACTACAATAACTGAGTTATAAATCATATTCATGATATGCATGCGACTCAAAGATATCGGGAGGCTGCTGATGGATTCCCACCAGAATCCCTGATCACGCCGGTTGGAAAGGTGAACGACCTGCAGACTATCCAAGTTACTGGGGAATCTTCGTCAATGACCAGAGCGTCGAAGAGGGCATTGATGAAGTGTTCGTCTCAGCTGCAGTGTATGAAGATTGACAATGGATGACCACAGAGCCTTCATTAAAACAACACTCACTGGCATGTACTGTGGTTTAATAACGATAACGAATATTTTATGTCCAGAATTATTGGATCTTATAATGGATGTTTTAGCAAGACGTCATATCAACGTATATTGACTTGTGCGTGATTACTTTGGAGTATATAATGTTACATGTATTTAGGTATGCTAATGAACCCTGTAACATTAGAATGGATAACATGAGTATATGATTAAATCATATTTCATAATTAATAAACACACATGATTACTATAACTACAAGTCAAAATCATGACGGTTAGGTAAAAAAGGGACAGAAAGTATTGATATTTTATTTAAGGAACCATTTTAGACGCCAATGTCTTAAAATATTCACTTCAATCACTGTCTGCAGCACAGGACCACCTGGCCCCAGAATCATAGTCTTGCGGTATGTATATGGGTTATGTGATGGTGGGGTTATATAAATGGACATACTACAGCGTAAGGAGAGTTACATATATTGCCTAGTATAAGCATGGCAAGATAATGGTTAGATATACTAATATCTACACTTACCGGAAATTCTTACAGGGGATATAAGGGAGTCAAATGATAAATATATATCATATATATCAGGTGAAATACAGCCAGTCGGGTCTAGGTAAAGGTAGTTGGTGAGTTGGGTTTAACGCCGTTTTGAAAAGTATTCCAGTATCACTGCGTGTCAACTTAATGATGGAGGAAAGCCCGAAGTAATGCAAGCCTTCGACGTTCACCAATTTGGTGAAACCCACGGGTATGGTGGTGACAAATCAAGAAATATAATCGGAGTAAATCGGGATTTGAACCCACAATCATAGGTTTCGGGCGTTCCCAATGGAAAACAGCTAATTGCGACTTGGTCACCCGTGCCATCAGCTTATAGTAATACATCACTACAATGATTGTGACACCCTTGTTTATTCCTCAGGTGCGAGGGGCGCTTGGGTAGCGTTATGGTGTAGCCTAATGGATTAAGCGTTCGCTCGTCACGCCGTAGGACGAGTTCGATTCAACATACACATACGATGTGTACAGGCAATTTCTGTTGTCCTCGCTGTAATATTGTTGGAATATTTGCTAAATAGCGGCATAAAACCATACTCACTTAATTGCGACTACATCAAGTTCAGATTTAGACATATTTGTCGTGTACCTGTCGTACGCTCGACTTTGTATTTGATAAATACAGAGCTGCATTGAGCGTCCGTAAAACTGTCTCTCGTGAAATCTGTACTGTAAATTATATTAGGGTATTAAGGCGACTGCTTGTCGTAAGAGGCGACTAACGGGATCGGTTGGTCAGGCTCGCTGGCTTGGTTGATGCATGTCATCGTATCCCATTTGCTTGGATCGATGCTCATCACATCAGTCACTGGATTGTCCAGACTTTATTATTTACAGACCGCCGTCGTATAGCTGGAATATTGCCGAGTGCGGCGTTAAACAACAAACAAACAAACAAGTTAACCTTATTTTATAATAGTTCCATAGTATAGTAAGACAAGCATTATACAACACACATTGTGCACGAAGCAAGTAACCTGATGACGCAAAAGGAACTTATAACGTGATGGAAGAACTGACCCATATTTTGTGAATCAATATAATAATATAGTGCTAAGAGGTGCCCATATACATACTCCTAATATGCATTGTACATGACTTCACATGGGGTACGATATGGGAATACATTTCACAAAGGTGCTGTACACATGGGATGTCTTGTTAAAGCCTCGATGACTAGCTATATTAATAGATAAAGGGGAAAGGCAATTAAAGGAAAAATACGGATGAAGTTTGTTTAATTATTTCATGTGCATTAAGACGTGAACCACCATCCAACACATAACGCTGTAAGACAAAAAATACCTGCATCTTAGCTGGCTATTGTACGATTTGGATTTACGGGTGGCACAATTGTCTAAGATGTAGTGTACGTTAGGGATATATGTGTCCCCAGCTGTGCAAGTGTCTCTAGTGGTGTGTTCGAGACAAGATTCACCCCGATTACAATCCAGTGTTTCTCAGCATCTTGTGGATTAAAACCGTCACGTTTTAGATACCTACAGTCTTAGTTTTCTAACGACATGACGCTGATATGTACAAACATGGTGGAATACTGTTAGCACCTACCTTAAGACCACAGTCCTGTACTGTGAAATAATCACTGAATGACACCTAACAATAAGAACCGCTTAAAATAAATTGTTACGGACTACCTGAACGTTCAGGAATAGAATCTCATCAGAGACAACAGTCCAGTGGATACCGAACAACGTCTTCATTGGACTGAAGAGAGTGCAATGTCCCAAGAATGGAGCATGGCATACATTAGTATCTTTCAAATGTGAACCAGAATAAACCAAAGACTGTCACGACAATCAGTTTTATTCAGCAGGTTAATGTGTTTTGTTTTCCTGTAATGGCCAGGTTGTTTTGTTAAGTAGCATGGTGTCCTAATGTTACATTCTGCCTTAATTATCCTTTAATCGTATATAGACGATAATGTATATACAGCATAACATCTATTTTAACATATATTATGTAAGGAAGAAAATTTATGGATGTCTACGTCTTTATCATGAGGAACAGAACGTGTCGGAGTTCTTACTCCTTCAATGAAAAACGGTCATGCTCACAGGATGTCATGAATATTACTAATGACGTCCCTAAAATATACAAAAGTAGTGATAATAATTAGGACCATTTGATACGTAAAGGCCGCGGACAATTGTACTAATACCAGCTGCTCAGCAGATGTATTGAATCCATTTGAGTGTGTGTGGCATGTGCAGTGTGACCTTCGTGGTGTAGTTACCTTTGCACAGTAGTGTTTGTTTGTTTGTAACGCCTCCGGGCCGCACAGTAGTGGATTTGGGACAGAGGAAGGGGTGATCATGGAACCTTAATGGCGAATATGTGGCATGGATTTGTTTGCAAATGGCAAGATGCATACTGGTTTGATTGATTAATATGTTTGAACATACCAGTGGTGTATTTCGATCAGACAATACAAATAATGTCTTTGAAATGGGTGAAATGGACTTGACATCCAAATAGTACAAACGAAACTTGTTTATTATTAAAACATGAAACATATTTTAAACATGAAATAATTGACCTTTGAAAGTTCGACAGCAGTTACCATCTGCACTGTACATTTCTAAATGCTTTCTATTAAGTTAAGCATGAATGGATCTGGCGGAATACTTGTTAAGATTTGGCGATAGCGTAGCCTTAGAGATGTTCTGTGATTAACGAGCAACTACTTAATGGGACCGAGGGTAACGTGGACTATGTGATTTACAACTCTGAACACGATCGTGATTAATCTCTGCTGATCCCACTCACTGCCATCGACACAATGTCAGT